CCAAAGAGTATACTCAACTTTAAAGTTGAATCCCAAAAACAATATAGTCTTGATTAACTTAATCGAGTTAGATGTCTCATTTGCTGTTGATTTCAGATGGTATCCCAAATATTCACTTGGTATTAATCAGTTAGTGGGTTGGTTATCTGAATATGTTTGCCAAACTAGAACAAAGTCCCCGATTATTTGGGGATGCTGGACGTTGAAAATAAAACACATATGCTCAAAATTAAAAGTCTCAAATCCGAGGCAATCCCACTTTTTTGAGTTCATTGTTAGTTCGGGTGAGAGTGAGCCCTAAAGCGATTCTAATGTCCCTCCTACCAAAATACGACGGCGGATTTCTCTTTGCCTGCTGTCCATTGACTTTGCTGTAATAATCTAGCCAAGATAACTCCATCGTCGTCTTCCTGCAGGCCTACAAACTGCATCCGATAGAGTTAGTAAAACAAAGAAATTGCTCAAACTCTATTCGCCAAGAGGCTAAATACTGTGTCAGTCTTCTCTATATGTTACTAGCAATCTATATTTAAGTATTGGGCACTAAAAGAATGAAAGCATTTTGGGCCATTTTATTAATTATTAAAATTACAAACATAATCTGTCTTAGTAATTTTTTAACTTTTTCTCATGGCTGGTCCAGAAAAGAAGAATAAGGGAAAGTCTATTTCTATCCTCGTGACTCCAATAAAAGGGTTATTAGCCGGCATGTCCTTTGCACTCCAACGTCACCTTATTTACGCTATCTATTCCGCCTTAAGCCGGAGCAACAGACACAAATTGACAACCGATTTTGGCGTTAGGCGAAATCTTCGGTTGGCTAGGCCCTCTTCTAGCCCAAGCTCAAAGAAGAGATAATCGAAATGATTCCAGACTTGGTTAAATGAGATTTCCTTAAGAATTCCGAGGAAGGAAAACGGAATATCACTTTATGCAAAGAAAATATCGAAATATATCCTTTCCACTTCATGCAGAAGCATATGATGTTCCCCGCTCTATATTTATACATATTTTCAGAAATAAAGTTTAATGTTCAATTTGCTTAACTCTTGACTTCTACTACTTTATGCCATCAGACCTGCCGATAATGCGGCCCGACTCTCCAGACACCAAGCTACCTGTCTCCCCATACATGTTCAAGATCTCTATCCTCGGACTTGATAACTACGGCAACGCCTCTGGTCGGGTGGGTGGAGATATGAATCTTGAATGTCAGGTCAACAGTGAGTTATGCATTTTCATATTGATAAACATATTTCTCTGACCTAATTTTTCAGACATGGGATATATTGTCCTCAGAAGGCATTTGCTCTTCTCCTTGCCAAAATTTGCTCATAAGCGGAGGCTGTTCCTAGAAGTACGCGAATCATCTGGATGCTTTGCAGTACCACAGCTAGCAACTTGACTGATCGCTCAGATTTCTTTGCTCCGTAATGCTGCCTCGTGTAGAACATTGGCATATTTTGTGACCAAAAAAAAGTATCGGTTTGCAGAGAGGATGTCTAGCTTTAATTAGATTGTCTGGCCCTCTTTAAATGTATTTGAGTCAAGCTCGACAGCGGACCTATTTACATATCTGCAAACTCTACAAAAAAATACAGTAAGCTTCCTTCCAAAGGAAGCATCGTTAAGACACCATTTGGAAACTGCCTATGGCTGAACTGTATGCAATGCCATCGCCTGAGTTCAGGCAAACTCGATGTAACATTACTCTTTCTCCCACTGAACTCAGTTAATCAGCTTCTTTCACTCTTCCATAAACTACATTTCAGCCCTTTAGAAAGACGTATTCTGGAGGCCTACACAAGGCCTCCTTCCATTCCAGGCCAGTAACGACGCCGACTAGAATTTGTTATCCCACCTAACGCGCAGAAACCGATTGCTAATGTCATCGCACTGTCGCTCGCCTTGTCTACTTGTTGGACGATTCAAGTGAAGTTATGGGAGAATCTTTCCTTTTCAACTCGTCAGAGGATATATACCAGTGAAATATTTATACTGATGATCGTATTTTCTAACTAA